TTTAACAAATGTTCAGTTACAGAATTTAGTTCTGACTCTCTATGACTTCTGTGTATTGTATGGGCCACTGACTCCTTTGAGCATATTGTAAGACCAATAAATCCCCTGTAAATAGGACATATACTGATAAAGCCCCAATTCCTCTGCTCCAGTACTTTATTGCTTCATTCAGCAACTACAGAGCTTGAAAAGAGCTCCACTAGATTCCTTACTGGAAGAGAAGACAGCTTTATTAAAGTGTATCTGAACCTAACAACAAAAATGTAAAATATTGCAGCTGACAGTTCTACGATATGGTGAAATGAACGTGCTGCCCTATATGTGGCGCACAAAAATACACATACACACACGTGCTGTCGCATCCACACTGGTGTAAATGAAGGCTCAGTCCTCAAGTGGTAAACAAGCCTGCTAATGTCTGAAACAAATCTTGGAAGTATATACGAAACCATTGCTGTGAATTAGTCTTCATACATTTATACTGTGTTTTCTTACAGGTTCTCCTTGTTGCATTGGTGGCTATGTCACTTGGATTAGGACTTGGCCTAGGATTAAAAAAGGAAAAGAAACAACCTGAGAGACCATCACGTACGTCATTTATGTTAAGCCTTTTTTTGTAATATTAGGTATCTTGGGTTGCTAATTGGTTTAATTCTTGCTGTACTGTTCTTCCAATATCTGTTTTGTTCTTTTACCGGAATAGTCCTTGTCTGAATTTCCTGCAAAAAAGTAAGGCCCAGCAATTTCATTACACATTCATATCTTAAAAAAAAGAAAAATAGGCAGTCACTATAGGTCAGCTACTCAAATGGTTCTTATTGTAGGTTCTTGGTGCATTTTTACATACTTTACCTCCTCTACTTCATTTTCAACCTATTTCCTAGCTTAAGTTTACTGGGTTTCTACACCTCCTTTACGTTTTATTTTTTAATTATGCGTGAGACTTACAGAACATTTGACTTAGGTTCACTGGGTTTCTTTTCCAGAGCTACCCCCTTTATGCTTTCTGTCCTCTATTTCCTATTCTGCTTGAAAAAACCCCATTCTGAACGCTTTCAGGTTCTCTGTGTGCAGAGAAGATCGGTGAATTCATAGTGCACTGACCTTCTACAACTGCTGTGTACACAGGATTGTGGGGTTTTGAACCCTGTGCTTTATCTGCTGTTGGAGCAGATGGTAAGGGATGATGTGCTATTGAGTAGAATATTATGCTAGGGTCAATTGTTTAGACAAAGTCAAAAAACCTACCAGCATGTCTTTGGAGTGTGAGTGAAAAATAAAATACCTGGAGGAAACCCATACAAGCACAGGAAGAACATGCAAACTCCATGAAGTTAGTGCCCTAACTGGGCAGAGAACCCAAGTGCTGCAAGGCAGAAGAGCTAACCACTAAGCCACCTTCCTTCTCTTGTAACACTGTGAGCAGTGATTGGTGCTCCCTTGGAATTCTGCTTGCCGTGGAGTGGGGCAGCTTCCTTATTTGTTTGACTCCAACAGTGTGGCCTGAGAACGCAGCCGGCTTGACCCAATGTAAGTATGTATATGCCATACCAGATTCGCTGCTGGGGATCCTGTAAAGTAGCCGAGCTACTACAGTGCTGGCCGAGCTCTTCTGGGTGCCCAGCACTGAGCTGCGCTGAGCGGGTTTCCCTCTGCTTTGAAAACACAGGGGGTCAATCGCTTGGCACAGTGACCATTCACAAAATGCCTAGCTGAAATATTTATTTATTAGCTATTACAGAACACCTCAAAAGCATGTTTTAAATATTGTGCCTTGCAAATGATAAATAATATACAGTCGCAAAAGGTATATACAGATATGGTAAGGCATATTCTGTGTTAGACTGAGACCAGATCTGGATAAATGAAAACATTAACTGGCTAATCACAGACGGAGTCCAAGTCTGCTGAAATGTATGTATATTAGGGTGTTTATGCTACTTTCAGTCAATAGGGAGGGCACAGCTTTGGGGAACACATAGTTGTGGTAAAGATTTAGGAGAATGTAGGAGAGAAGTTGTGATAGACTAGGTTACTGGCAAATCTGATAGTGAGGCATCAGGAGTCAGTGAGAGGAATAAGCAGAATGTGTGCAGGAGGGAATTTAGCTCAGCTCAGTGTATGTGGAGTCCTCCCGAGTCTGCAGCATGGTAGGTCCTTGAGGGAGCAGAGCTAGTACATGAAGCAGAGATGGCCATGCTGTGATAGCCATGAGAGAGTGGTGAGCTGTGATGCCATCTGAAAGTGTATTACCAGGTGAAAAGCAGGGGCAATGATAGAACATCACTGTGCTTTGAAGTAAAAACAGATACCAACAATGTCTGTTGCATTTGTAACTTTTATAGAAAAAAAGCAAATGTTAAAATGAGAGAGGACTGTTGCTTTGTCTTTCCCTATGCCCCGAGGAAATTGTGCATGATAGGAAAGGTAATCGGGGAAGACTGGATTTAGGAACTGATCTAGGAATGGATGGAAGTGCCATAGAGACAATACCACACCCATTCTATGAATGCTGTCTCCAACTGATGTAAGAGCTGTTGAGGCTACAGTTAGAACACCTTCAACAAATGTGACACTCTTGCACAACCCTATGGCAGATGGGATACAATACACAGAAGCTGCCCCCAAGGAAATCACATGCAACTCCCAGATCTGGAATACTTTGTGTAGTTGGATACTGGGGGAGCCAAAGGGTGCTTAGGAGAAGCAAGTAGTAGGGAGAGTAGTCTCCCTGTGAAGGCTAAAGCAATTAGGGGTTCAAAGGGTTATTCATCAGTTTACAATGGGGATGCTTTTTAGCTGGGGAGATTTCAGTCTGGAGAAAACCGAATGCAAATATGAGTGGGGAAGGTGTGATTGTTTAATAGTGGGCACGAGCATAGAAAGATGGCAGCTATATCAATGGGGCTTATATAGCTCTACCAATGCAGCCATCAAATTGGAAATGAATATCAATGGAAAAAACAATGACATATTTGTGCAAGCTTCTTTCATTTGTGCTAGGTAATCCTGAGAAAATCTACCTTTTGACTAAAGTTAAAACTTGAAATACCAGACTGGTTTTACATTACGTGCCAGTTTTCTTGTATGCTTTGTGCAAGTGACTTTCTTCTCAGCACAAAAAAGCTGACTAGAGAGGAAACACCCATACATATGACAAACTTAGTACTACTTCCATAGTGTTACCTTTCAATAAATGAAAAGCACATCTCTTACACATAGAAATAATTGCTCTGATTTTATATAAATTATAGTATATTTGTTTGTGGCTGAGCACAGAACCTAAAATGATTTTATATCCTTCGGCAAAGCACAGAAAGTAAAACGTACACTTTGTAATCAGAAGTGAAACTGTGAAAACCTCAGAGAAATGGACACATGTTTATGATAACATCATATTTTGGGACATCCTCAGGGGCAGAGCTAATGATTTACAGAAGATGCTATGATGCTGTTTTGTTCATGAATGGGGAACATAAGCACATGTGGATGGCCTCAAGGATGAAGAAATTATATGCAGGTTCCTTTTAACTGAATGCCCAGTTAGCCCCAAAACCCAGGGTTTCCATTTATGCAAATTTCAACTAAAGGCCAGTTAGGAACTAAAGGACGTAAATATTTTAGTTAATTCCCTCTTACTAGTACCAGTCAGTGAGGCAGCCCATGACACTTAAAAAGTAACAGTTGTGGTTCATGAGCTAAAGAATTGGTGAGAAATATGAATACATCTCTTGATTTATGCAATTCATTCATAATACCAGATATTCATGTCTTCTATATTTTAAGTATATAGTATCTTAAAAATATAGTACAAGTGTGAGTTCACCTTTAGGCAGCACACTTAGGATTGCCATAAATATTCCATTGCTGCCCCCTTTCGATGGTCTATTATGATACTTGGATGAGAATCGTTCTATTTAGTGCTGCCCTAGGGGGTGATAGAGTGTTTCTGACACTAGAAGCACTTGTTATTGCACATGGAAAGTTTTCACCATGTTGCACAATATTTTGTATAATGGGACATCTCATAGAGCAGACAGGTAAAGGTAATGCATCATGTATACACTGTGTCTACTCACCATGTGCCTACTGGCAAATGGGAACTAGAACAGGCAGATGTGTCCCTACTCATCCAGCAGAATTTGAAGTTAACATCTCAGAACTACTACTAGGTACTAGATAGGCAGAGCCAGCTGTCACTCACACAGCTGAGCGGATCTCGACATCGATGTCGGGATCCGCTCCGGCTGCGTTGTCTCAGTATACCGCGAGCTGTAGCTCGCGGTATACTGAGCTTAGGGTGACGGGAGGACGCTAGTTTGTGTCCTCCCGTTACCCTAAGGAGAACTATGGGGAAAAGCCCTGACCCCATAGTTCTCCTTTAACCGACATTTTTTGATCAAGCAGCAGCCATGAGTGTTCCTAAGATCCTGTCCCACTGCATTTGACTGTCATTAAAATTGCAAACTAGAGTAAATACAAAGAGTGTATCTATTCTTTTTGGTCAAACACTTAAATAAAAGGATATACTCTCTTTACTCTTACTCTTGCTATTAGACCTCTCTGCTGCTTTTGACACTGTTGACCACCCGCTGCTCCTCAAAAAACTCCACTCGCTTGGCCTACAGGACTCTGCTCTCTCATGGTTCTCCTCCTACTCAGCTGTGCGCTCCTTTAGTGTCACCTACAACTCTAAGTCCTCCTCTCCTCTTCCTCTTTCTGTAGGGGTCCCCCAAGGCTCTGTCCCCCAAGGCTCTTCTCCATCTACACCTCCTCCCTTGGTCAGTTAATAAGCTCATGGCTTCCAATACCATCTCTATGCCGATGGCACTCAAATTTATCTTTCTACTCCACAACTCACCCCCTCAGTGTCCTTGCGTGTCACTAATCTACTAACTGACATATCCGTCTGGATGTCGCAACACTTCTTAAAGCTCAACCTTTCTAAACCTGAGCTCTTGATATTTCCTCCTGCCCGTGCACTTTCCCCCAACTTTTCCTTTGAGATTGATAACACACCCATCCAGCCCTCCCCTCATGCCAAGGTCCTAGGTGTCATCCTTGACTCGGACCTCACCTTTTTTCCCCACATCCAATCACAAGCTGCTAGACTCATTCACCTGACCGCTCAGTGTCTGCATCCCCCCTCTGTCAATCCCTCCACTGGCTTCCACTCGCCCAGAGGATAAAATTCAAAATATTAACAGTCACTTATAAAGCCATCCAAAACTCTGCCCCCGGATATATCTCAGACCTTGTCTCAAAATATCACCCTAACCGTCCACTCCGCTCTTCCCAAGATCTCCTGCTTTCCAGCTCCCTTGGCAACTCCTCCCATACTCGCCTCCAGGACTTCTCTAGAGTCTCTCCCATCCTCTGGAACTCTTTACCCCAACCTGTCCGTCTATCTCCCACCTTGACTGCCTTTAGGCGATCCCTAAAGACTCATCTCTTCAGGGAAGCCTGTCCCACCTCAACCTAACCACTGAACCATCACGTTCTCAAACAATTCTTCCCTACACAGCTACCTCCTCATGTATCACTTTGCCCATCTCTTTTAGATTGTAAGCCCCAGGGGAGGGCCCTCCTTACCATCTTGTCTTGAATTGTATTGTGATTGTAATGTCTTTCTTATATTGTAAAGCGCTGCGCAAACTTTTGGCGCTATAAAAAAAAACTATGTAATAATAATAATATACATTGGTCTCCCTGATTCTTTAATTTTAGTGTCATGCAGACAAAGATGCTACAATACAGAAAATGTAAGGGAAGATGACTGTCGCTGTGATTCCCAGTGTACACAACAAGGAAACTGCTGTATTGACTTTGATGATCTGTGCAATAAACCAAGTGAGTATCATAATTATTTTAATATCACTATTGTTATCTTGTAGGTGATGGCTAACTACAATCATTATCTTCTCCTGTGTATATTTCAGGTGAATGAAACAACTTATTGTTAGTCGTAAGTTGTATTTTACGGTTTCAGGCATTGTAAAGTTCAGGTTACAATGTAAGAAATTGTTTTTGCAATCATTCAAACACAGAACCCAAAGAGCAGCTGTCATTTAGTAATAACTGTAATGTTGTGAACAGGTAAGGGGACACAGATAGTGCACATGTCTCTTCCACTAAGAGCTCCAAGATGTTTGCAAATGTCACATTAAGGACCTTTTTAGCCTGGGTGCCTCCATCTCTGCCTGTCACTATGAAGATGGTCACACAGTTGAATGTATGAATGCTCAGTTTAAGAAGCTCACTGTCATTGAGTACCACAGGTCATCAAAATGGCACCAAACCCGTTTTAAATCCAGCTTCTTTATGCCTCTCATTTTCAAATGGGCACATCTTACTAGTGTAAGGATGGGGCTTTCTTTAGAAGGCTGGCTCAGTTGCTACAAGAGGCAAAGGTTAACATTACCCTCCAGAGCACCGTATTATCTTTATAATGAAAAGACAAACATTTGAAATGCCCAATTTTCTCTCCTCAATTCTGCAGATCATATAATTACTACATTTACACATTACAGAGTCATATTAAAATAGATACTAGTTTAGTGGTTTATCCACTTATTTTATACAGGATGGCATTTTAGTAGCATCTCTTAAATGACACAGGCATTTCTTACTCTTATAATATCATAATTTCTACTTTTAAATTAGGTGTATGTAATAGGGAGTGTTTACATGCATTTACACAGGTTTTGGTGCGTTTAGGAGTTAAAATTATTTCCTAGATGCACCTGACTTAATTTTTTTTCTGAACACAGATAAACTGACTGCTGATAAAAGCACCTATACACAATGAGTGAATTGATCCATTGGAAATCATTAGATGCATAATGCATTTAGGAAAGCTTTTTGAATGCTTATAAACGCATCTAATCGCATCTAAATTGAAAGTAGCCTAAAAGCAGACCTTTCACCATTTACTGAAAATTGGGCTATTCCCTCTCTCCCTCTTCTCTATTACACATTTGAAAGAATGTTCATGTTTTGTGACCTGTGTATATTTTCCTCCTTCACCCTCCTACTTCCTCACTTATTTTTCTCTTCTAAAGCCCTCATGCACTCCTCTGCAAAGCAACATTGCAGAGGTGCTGCAGAGTGCACTTGTGGTGAGCTGCAGTAGCCCATTTATTTGAATTGGCTGCTTACCACAGCTAAATCGCACAGGAAGAAGTACATGCACCTTTTTAAAAATCACACCGCACCACACTGCATGATATTAGGTTACCATGTGATGAGATTTGATACAATGCACTTGCAATGGGTAGGTGCGTTTGGGTGCCATTAAAAAATAATGGCACCGCATCGCACCCAACTCTGCAACATACGAAGCAGAATTGCATGCGGCATCACATAGATGTGAACAGAGGCTAACTATATATATATATATATATATTATTCAGAGTATTATATCTCAAACTATTTTGTTTCATAAATAGCAGAGCAGGCACAGACTACTTCCTGGCCTTGTTTGTTTTTTGTCTGCCTGAAGACTGAGCCATCTGATAAGTGATGCATCACTTAATTCACTTGTGTGTGTAAATTTCAGCTTGCCATATCAAGTTCTGTAAACAGGTTTTGTACATCAAAGAAGCAAACGGGGAGCCTAGAAAACACGAAATGAAGCCTAAAGGGCCACCTTCTGGCTCAAAAGAATGTTTCTGTTTATGATAATGACTAGTAATTATATTTGAGTTTAACCATTAAAGTGGAAGACCAGCTTGTTTTGGATAACATATGGAAGAGTTAGAAACTGTCAGGTTTTTGTTTGCTGTCAGTGTCCACATTTGGATATATGTTCTCTGTCCATGTGATATCACAGGAAGTGAGAGGAAAATCACTCTAGGCCACTCTAGGTTATCATTTTTGAGCAGTAGAAAAACCGCTTCAAATTGCCCAACACAAGAAATCATATAATTTTAAATGGCCCATGTTTACACCTGAGCAGCAAAACGCCAGCAGCAAAATGCCCAAAAAAGTACAAAAGTACAAAAGCTTCTTTTTGGCAGTTTGCATTGTGCACGTTTTCACGCTTTTGTATCTCCATTGACCGCAATGTTTCTTAGGCTGCCAGTCAAAATGCATGTCTTTAGACAAAAAATGTGCATAACACACATAAACGTGCAAAAAAAAGCTTACTGAACCCATGCATACTAATGCGCAAAAACAATGAATGGGGCCTAAAGGTGACATGAACATCGATAAAACCCCAAGAGGTTCTAACCTTTGTTTACACAATCCAAAATTACACTTTACTTAAGTAAACTATATCTCTTGTGACATACAATGTTTTAAAATTGTAACAAGCTGTCAGGGTACCGTGTGCCGGTGTCCCCACACCGCATGCAGGTACCCACGCAGGAAGACCAAATTAATATGACCACACTGGATAGGATTATAGGCGCACAGTTTATTTGTACACAGCAAACAAACACCTCAACCCTACCTACACCTACAAGTTAACACAAGCAAGAGAAACAACAAACTAAGTAGAACACAATGCACACCCAGGGAATACGAGCCAGGTGGACCCGAGGAGCCAGGCAAGACCAGGGGAGCTAAGGGACAAGGGGGTCAGGGTACAGGAAACAATATGCAGCAAGCGGGAACAGGGCTCAGAACTGCAAACAGGTATCAGGGCTCAGGGAAGCGCTACAGGATACTGGGGCTCAGGATTCAGGAAAGGGCAACAGGATACTGAGCCACAGTCCTGACTGAAGGGAGGGATTAAATATCCTCCCAGGAAGCACCAGAGATTGGATGATTGCTGGCAGCTGGCAGACACCTGCAGGTGAGCACCGGAGTTGCAGGTTCCAGCACCACCCAGTGGTGGTCTGGTACCTGACAGTTCCTGGCTGCTGGAGACACCCGCAGGCGAGCACAGGAACTACAGGACCTGGCTCCAGCGCCACCTGGAGGTGCTCTGGATCCTGACACAAGCTTTCAGCTTAAGCTGCCCCTACATGGGATAATTTTCTCATTTATGAGGTTTGGAAGGGCTTATTATCACACACATGGATTTTCCAACATGTTGACAAATTTCAATGACTGTTAAAGGGGAGCATTTTTTTTTAACCAACCCAATAGCATAACTGTTGGCTGGGTCTAGGAGAAGTCTTGAGATGTTTGGTTGTATGGCAGCTTTGATAATGGGTTGACTGGGATAAAAGTATTGCCTGTGTATGTGTTTTTGTTGGTGATTTAGTAGCATGGTGTACAGATTTGCAAATCATATCTTTGCTGTATTTTGCAGAGGAGGAATGGACATGTAGCAAGGTGCGATGTGGAGAGACTCGGATTGAAGGCAGTCATTGTTCATGCTCAGATGATTGCCTGACAAAAGGGGATTGTTGTACCAATTACCATGGTATTTGCAAAGGTAACATTTTATAATAACATCAATTCATTGGGGTTAATTTGCTAAAGGAGTAAAGACTCCTATATCAAATATCATATAACATGCCTATTCTGTTTTATCCAATGCAACTGTTTACTAAAAGCAGAATATAGGAATGTTCACAGCATAACACGCATTATAATGCGTGTCATGACATAAGAGATAAGCAGAATATAGGAATGTTCACAGCATAACACGCATTATAATGTGTGTCATGACATAAGAGATATCAAAACACTTTCAATGGTATATTTAACAGACCAAAAGGGAACAAATTAGAGCACATAAGAGACGTTTACTGTTAGGGTTTACATACACTTTTAGCTCATACATGCACAGTGTAACATGCTTTACTATGGTACATCACAGGAGCAGCAATAGCACCCTCCCCTATAGTGGGGAAGTCTGGCCACACCTGCATTCATAATATATTTCCAATGAGACACATATTATCTAAATATAATTTAGACTTAGAGCAGCCATAAATGCAAGTGATGCTCATGCTCATTACTTGTTACAAGGATTAGGAATGGAGCAAATATAATATTAATCTGACCTTCTCGCCTTCCACCCAGGATGCAGAGCACATGCCTGAGTGGCCAATCACCAGTCCCAAACACTGTCTTATGAGGAAGGGGAGCAAGTCATTAGCAATGTGTAAGGTCCAACACTGTCAAACGCAGAGCTTACAGGGGGCTTAGACCCAGAGTTCCAAACAGGAGAAGGCAGAAGGGTGTGACAAGGGTATCAGTAGGTGGGGAATTTCAAAAGAACCTGTCGCTTTGCCTGGGGAGAGAGAAATATTATTTTTAGGTTTTGTTATCAACTTTACTATGTGCTTAGACCTAATGAAAAATGTCCAGCTTATTTAATCAGTTTCATACAGCCGCATCCCAATTTGTTTGAGTGGATGTTTACATTTCTGTGCAATTCTATCCACTGAAATTGGATTATGCAGTTAGAATGTAACCAGTTTACTTAACACGTGACCAGCTTAAGAAAGCCAACTAGTGGGAGCATATTTTTTGTTTTTAATGTGTATTGATCCATGGTTTGATTTCTAGGAGAAACTCTCTGGGCAGATGACACTGAATGCGCCAGTAGTGCAACTCAAAGGTGTCCTGCAGGGTAAGACAACCTTTATAGCTATCACTTACAAGAAATTAGGAGACAATCTACAATCCTCTTACCCAAGATAGACAAATGCGTCTTTAGCCAAATAAATTAACATACAGGTATATGATTTGCTGCATGAAATAAAAAGCTCTGCAAACACGAAAAAGAGTGAGCATTTAAAGCAATCTTCCTTATCTAAGCTGTTATATTAAAGTTATTATGCAAGCCACACTGGAACCAGAATTTTTCAAGACAAAAAATATTTTTAAAGTCTTTCACATCCCAGTGTTGATGCTCTTCAGCCCTATACTCTTGGTATTTCACCATGTACAGGAAAGGAGTTCTATGCAGTAATTTGCTGTTGTATACAATAGAGTTAACAGAATGGCACATTGTGCATTCTAATAATATTTCTTATAACCCACATTTGTATTGTAATCATAATTACTTTACTATGGATTTTTGTCATGACTAGGGATTAGGGTCTGAATATGTGCCAACCTTGGTTTTGGGATTCTGATCCACAAGTGCCAGCAAATTGACATTATGTGCAATTTTGCTGAGTTTAATCTTTTTAAATAATGGACAGCATAATCCATAACTTAGAAAGGACAATAATGGGGGAATTGGATAAGCCAGCCTCTCTTTATAAAAGGATGGGTTTACAGTAGCCACATTTTCAGTGTGCATCAAGCTGTTAAGGAAGAACAGGAACGCCAACAACCTAGCGCCCTAAAACGGTGGGTACAAGGGGTGAAGAAGTAGGGGAATTTGCACTCACTTACATACTGTGTAGATGGGCCATGTATATGTACAAGGTGTCTGGCAGCCTGGATGTAGGGCTTCTGGTGGTGTGGGGTCCCCTGAGGAAACCAGGGGTGGCCTGGTAGATGCGGCTCTGGCAATGAGGAGTGAAACAAGGAGAAGGAGAGGTGCAGAGCAGCACCAACGGTGTGATACCTCAGAGAAAAAAAAAATGATGAAAAGTAATGCCGACCTTTGCAGAAATCTTCTTTTCTAAAAAATTTTATGCAGCTGCTGTGGAGGCAACTGTGTGTGACACAGAAAACCCTGCGGCAGGCCACGGCCCTCCTCTCCGCCAACTGCTTGATTGATGGCAGAAAGATCCTATGACTCCTCTGCCCTCGTTATCCTCCTCCCACAACCAGGAAGAATGGGGAATGGAGGATCGCTTTGGGACCAGCGATGGTGACAAGTGGCGGTAACAGAAAAGTGTGGGGGGGATGGGGAAAACACAAAGGTACTGGGCAGTTTTTACCTTAATGCACAGAATGCATTAAGGTAAAAAACGCTCAGACTTTAATGTTACTTTAAGAGTCTGTGTTGTGGTCTTTAAGGATCTCTGAGAGTCAATTACTTCACAGTGCGAGAAGCTAGAGAAATCAGGGATGACTTGTTTTACAGCTTTTTTTTTTTACTGACAAACATTTAATGTCAGTTATATATCCATTTCTTTTCTGCTTAAAACTATATGAAAATTGGTGTTTTTTTTTTGGTTTTTTTTATAAGTAGTTCATTAACTCTGATATATTTTATTCTGTGTTTCACAGCTTTGATCTACCCCCTGTTATCCTTTTCTCATTGGATGGATTCCGAGCTAATTATTTAGATGTATATGCTGACTTGATGCCAAATATTAAAAAACTGAGTTAGTATTTTTTTTTTTTTTACTGTTTCTGTTCTCTAGTATGGTTCAAAAGTCATGCTTTATTTCAGGATATCACCATTCAGGAATATTACATTTTGGGTAGAATAAGCAAACTACCAGGAAATATACCTCCATAAGATGTAGTGGCTAATATTAGGGCTGCAACAACTAATCGACATAATCGATTATAATCGATTATTGAAAAAGTTGTCAACTTTTTCAATAATCGATTAATCGGCTTCTGATCAGTTGGCCCTGTTCACGGCTCCACACATGCTGCGCACCGCACCTCCTCCCCAACTCACGCTCAACGCTGCCAGACCCGCATCCACGCTCTACAATATAAACATTGTTTACCTTTAGTTTACCACTAAAAAGATATTACTGTATGTGTTTATAATTCCGTCATTTATTGATTGGGGGTTTTGTTGTATCGTGTGATGTGCAGATGGCATGCATGCATTTGTTACTGCAAACATGTAGTAGCTAATCTTTTTTTTAGATGTTTGTAACCATTGGAAATGAATCCTGGTTAGTTGGCATAAGGTGCAGCACTGTTCCTTGCCTTAGTGAAAAAGTCTGTACAAAGTCTGTAGCAAGCTTGGAGCAGTGGCTCACTCAGTTCTAGATCCTCAAATCATCTCTGAATTGGTGCTGACACTGCCCTTCCTTCTGGTGGGTGGCCACTTTTGTTTCCCCTTGTCCTTGTGTGTGTTGTAAAGTAGCCACCGCTCCGAGCTCACTCCTGTGATAATTTATAACTTAAATTCAAATTAGTAAACTAAATGTGAGATTGTAGTCCATCATGGGAGCGAGCTTGGAGCAGTGACTACTGTACAACACACAAAGGGACCATGGGGAACAAAAGAAACCACCCTCCAGAAGGAAGGACAGTGTCAGCATGAATTCAGAGATGATTTGAGGATCTACAGCCGAGTGATACACAAATAAGATACGTGTTTATTAATAGTTAAGGTACTTAAATGCAGTTTTAAGATTTAACTCATAAGTTTAGTGTCACTTTAACCTTTGAAAATGTAAAAAAAAATAGTTGAAATTTCCTCTAGATGTACCACATTATTTTACTGTATTTTAAATGTTTTACTTATTCACTGCAGGAGATTGTGGAACACACTCTAAGTACATGAGGTCGGTGTACCCTACAAAGACATTCCCCAACCACTACACAATAGTCACTGTAAGTGATTTATGTTGTTGAGCTGTTTTGATGTTTTAAGCTCATAGAACACATCTATAAATAATATACTCTTCTCTTTGGGATTTTGTTACACCTGTCGCCAGTACGGCTACAATACCATCAACATTCACTAAACTAACTTTGAGTGTTTAAAGGGTGCAATGACTACCTCCAAGACTTTTTGCAAGGCTCCTAGTTCATTGGGACCCATGTAAAATTCAATGGAACCCTCCCTGGATTATTTACTGTATTTTTAAAGCAAAACTATCATTGTTTGTTATCAGTTTTATTTAGTGTTGTCGTAAACTGATATTTTATGTTTATTATTACTTGTAAAAAATTAAAAATTATTTTTGTTTAAATAAAGATTTGCTGTTATCTAGTAAAATAAGGCAGCATACTTTAAAAAAATGTCATTTTTCTCCCAAATAACAAACTGAGACATTATGTTTTAATACAAGCCTTCTTTTTACATTCCATTTAGGGGTTGTTTCCAGAGTCAAATGGCATTATCGATAACAACATGTATGATTTTAACATGAATAAGATGTTTTCTTTGTCTGGAAATGAGAAATTTAATAGCTCATGGTGGGAAGGACAACCGGTATGTTTTTTTTTTTTATAATCATGGTGTGACGTTTCAATTGAGAACTTAAAACATGCTGCATATTTTTAAAGTGGACCTATAGCCCCTTTCACTAAAAATCATATCAGCATACAGCTTTGCTTGCTGATATGAATCCATCTTACATTAATTAGTTAAACAAACATTTTCATTTAATTACAATTTCTTGTTTTCTACTTCCTGGTCCTCTTTGGCAAAGTGATGCAATCGTGCCCAAGCGTTGCATCCTGGGAAGGAAACATCAGCAGAGCATTGCTGGAAAATCTCATCTGTAATCATGTAATCACGAGATCACAGGGAAACGCATTTTCCTCCCCAGAGATGATGTGCATGGTCATATGTCCTAGTCACATGTGCCAGATTTCCAGGAAGTAAAGGGAGATGGATTAATCTGCCCTTAGTAAAAATGGCCACTGTATGGGGAAGAAAAGAAAAATAAGGTATGCAAGGAATAATAAAACTGCAATTATCTAGAAGTATCTGTTTGTAGATTGTCATTACTAAACATTTCTAAAGGTGCCTTTGTTGTCATTTTGAATATATGGGTAAAGTTCCTATTTAACAGTTACACTCTTCCTAGTTTTATAACTTAGACCTAGCTATCATAGGTATATTTTCTAATGAAATATGTATGTTAAAATCTAACATTGGTAACATATATTACTGTGCTTTTGTAAAACATGTAACTTTCTAAATGTTTAGCTTCTAAAATGAATATTTAAATTAAAGCGATAGTATAGTGGGTTTGGTCAGTGGGTTTGCAGTGTTCATAAAAAAATACTTTTTGAAAGGACTTTCAAATTTCTGTTTTATTGTAAAAATTACAGAGATTTGTAGATTAGTCACTAGAAGGAGCTGCCATTGGCTCGGTCTACCTCTCTCCTAACAACTGGAGTATTAAAGTAGAACTCAAGCCAACTCTTTTATTTTTTTAGTTTTGAATAGAGTAAGGAAGGATTAGAACCTGTCAGCTTTTTATGTGTGTCATATGTATCCCTGTTAGGGAGACACCCCTTGGCAGGTAACAAATGCAAATGTCACCAGCACTCCAGTACGAAGATTCACGTCAGGGTCCCCTTCATCAGGCTCAATAATGACATTGTATTTAATCAATGTCATTATTGAGCCTGATGAAGGGGACCCTATGCAGCCGCAAAAGTGCTTGTCTTCTTGACATCTGTCAATAAAATGGATTTGCACTGACGTGAATCTTTCGTATTGGAGTGCTGGTGACATTTGCATTTGTTACTGTATTTTGAGCGGTGCCATCCACTGTCATTACAAGCACCCGTTATCTTTGGAATATTCGATAAAGAGTGCAGCAAGGCACATGGACTATACCCCTTGGCAGGTGACACGGGCTCATTAGAGGCACAGAGTCTAAGCACCAGCTGATGTTCACCAGAGCTCCTAATGGTCCACCATTGGGTTTTGCTGCTTGCTGGTACCAGGTTGCAGTCCCAGGATCACCCTGCCAAGGGATAAATGAGGAGAGGAGGGCTCCAATGAGGAGACAGTAGTCCAAAGTGTGGTCAGGATCAGGCAGAGGTCAGGCACCTGACAGGTGATAACCAGAGAATGGTCAGACGGTCCGGGTCAGCAGCAAAAAGGCATGAGACAAGAACAGGAGACGAGCATAGTGGGATTCAGGTAGAAGGTCACGGCAGGATGAAGGTAAAGTTGTGTGTGACTCATCATCTAATTATACGTTAGCAAGAACCTTTATTTTCCCCATTGCACATAAGTGGACATTCAAGAAAGAGCTGATCTCTTTTGTTAGAAATACAACCACATATATTATGTCTTTTGAGCTGTAGATGGCGCTGTAGTGCAATGCTAGTCCATGCAAGTCTTTGTTTGCATGCTTATCTATGATATATAAGGAAGGTCTCTCGGTATGCTGTATAATGCTGTATTCTGATGTAATATTCTCCTAAGCAAGTAAAACTTAATTCAGGATTCCTCAAGATCTCAGTGCTTCACCTAAACACATAACCAACATATTTAACATGCTGAAAACATTGAAAAGACTATATATGTAATTTAATTGATTTCCAATCTTCTGTCTTTGTGTGGCTGATTGTGTTTAGCCTCCATATTGTACATGAAAAAACCTCTATCACTCAGTTAAATAATACTGTGTTTCTTCTTATCTTTATTTGTATTTTCCAAACAAAGATTTGGTTGACAGCTATGTACCAAGGATTAAAAGCTGGCACTTTTTTTTGGCCTGGATCAGACGTTCCTATAAACGGTTCTTACCCTACTAATTATGAACTGTACAATGGGTGAGTGCTTTTAAATCCATTTTGCAAACAACAAAGACAATTATTTGTTAATGAGAGATGACTCCATAAAATTGTTGCGGTGTCACTATAAGTAATGCATATTGTAAAAATGTACCTTGCCATATACCCCCCCTGTGATGTTTCAGCATCTCTTTGACACATTTAAAATTATGTGTTTTTTTTTCTATTGAGAAAGCTGGTTAGATGACCAGTGAAACGTCTTCAAGAAAAATACAGCAAGTCCAGTTGCCTTCACTTATTTTTTACAGTTTAACCAGAGGTTAAAGCTCATAGAACACATCTATGAATAATATACTCTTCTCTTTGGGATTTTCTTACACCTGTCGTCAGTACGGCTACAATACCATCAACATTCACTAAACTAACTTTGAGTGTTTAAAGGGTGCAATGACTACCACCAAGACTTTTTGCAAGGCTCCTAGTTCATTAGGACCCATGTAAAATCCAATGGAACCCTCCCTGGATTATTTACTGTATGTATGTATCAAAGAGATGCTGACACATTCACAGCTTTGTGTGTATAGGTACCTTTACACACAAAGCTGTGAATGTTTCAGCATTCAGCATTGTGAATGTTTCAGCATCTCAGCATTTCAGCATCTCTTTGACACATTTAAAATTATATGTTTTTTTTTTCTATTGAGAAAGCTGGTTAGATGACCAGTGAAACATCTTCAAGAAAAATACGGCAAGTCCAGTTGCCTTCATTTATTTTTTACAGTTTAACCAGAGGTAACTTTATTTTTAAACACCGGAAATGGCTAAAAGACCTTAGTTCTGCTTTAACTAAAGGTAACAGAATCTCCTGCATGTCTTTTCCTGAAACTACTGAAAAGAAAGGCAGCTTGAAAAGAGAGGCAGCTATGTGTTAAATCGCCATGCTGTGCAACCTTGGTTTTAATGCATTCTTTTGTGATAATGTCCTTGAATGTTTTCACATATTTATCCATTAATGTACTAACAGTAATGCACACAATTACTATGTGTAATTTTCAATGTTTGTAATATAATTCTATCTTGTTGGGAAACCTAATAAAAAAATAAGGATAAAAAAAGAGAATATATAATTTGCAGGCTCTAATGTTGTGAAACATCTACAATACCCCTGGTAGCCAAGGAACATGTGATCTTCTGCCTTCCAGGTCACATAAGTAAGCAATAATGTGGCACTTGTTATCATATTATTTTCAGCAGACATGTCTAATTAATTCATGTGAACTGTGATTGATAATGATAGATGCACTTTTTCCCTAAGACCATAATGGAACTGGACAAAAACAAGTATTTTAGATTAGAGTTGTCACCATTAACAAATCATCAGTGTGGCAACAAAATGCCATGCTTGGATGTTGCATTAAGGCCTCACAATCATATTCATAGACAGCACTTTCATCACATAGACAGGGTTTCATTACTTATATACAGCAGCCATGGCCATGAGAAATTTCTTCATATCAACAATGTTACTTTTCAATTCATGCAGATTGCAGATCTGGCCCCCTTCCCCGGCATTGTTCCACAGCCTCTGTTGTCCTATCTTTGGCTACCTCACTATAGTCATACATAGCATCTATTTGTGAAAGACATTACACTAAAGACTTTAATAACTGTTTACTGGAATATTTAAGAAATATATTTTGTACTAATCTTCTCAGTTTAAACACCAAGCTTATCAACTAAGAACATTATCTGTATTGCAGGTCTGTTACCTATGAAGAAAGAATAACTTCTATACTCCACTGGCTAGACCTTCCAAAAAATAAAAGGTATTTTTTAAACTTCCAAATAAAATTGCACCCTTTGTGTTTTACACTGATAATTACTAACATCAATGTTATGATGGGCAGGCCAGACTTCTATACTTTGTATATTGAGGAGCCGGACTCTTCAGGGCATTCTTTTGGTCCAGTGAGTGGAGGGGTAAGTAAATATTTACATTTGTTTCTAGAGCTGACCAAACATGTTACAACCTGATTGTACAATCTGGGTGGGTTTGATTGGAAGGCACACACACACAAAATTATTTTACAATTACAGTGGAGAAAATTTGGAAAACAAAAGGTCGTAGCAGGTGGCCAGCATTACAATCTGCTCTAAGGAAACATTCAATCTCATCCACAATTAGGATTTTGTTATAGATTGTGCAGTGCCCTAGTTTAAAATGTGTGCCATAGATCAATATAAAACTAGATTATGGTCACTATTCATCCCCATTTTCTGGGAATATTCCCCGTTCAAGGGGACAGTCCCTGTTTTGAGGGAATGGGCTGGAATGAAACTGGGAGGATAGGGTCATTTTCAGTTCTACTGTGCATGCTGTACGTTACTTATTCTTGATTATTTCCACCCCTACATGCTGTACTATGCACTTCTGAACCCTGCACTCCATGCATTATATACTCCTGACAGACACACACACATTATATATATATATATATATATATATACACTGAGTGGCCGGATTATTATGACCACCCCATCAGTACTTCGTTGGGCCGCCTCGTGACTCCACGAGATGTTGAAAGGGGATGCAAGGAATCTGACACTGCACTGTTGCCCTTCTGTTGTCTTGTACTCGTCTTGCCACACTCCTTTCTGCCCTAACATTGACTAGTCGCTGACAGCCACAATTCGCACGTTCAGATCCAGATTTTCGCCTGACAGTCCAGTCTTTAACTACCTCCTGGCCGTCCGTAGTAAAAAAAACGGCCGGCCGGGAGCTCTCTAGATCTGAGCGGGCGTCTTTAGACGTCCGCTCAGACACGCCCACACGCCGCTGGGCGCACGCGAGCGGGAAATGGCCGATATTTAAAAAAGGCAGCGATGCCTGTTAACATACAAGCGATCCGCACACTGTAGAGCCGGCGGATCGCTTGTATGTTGCAACGATCGGTGCGCCCCCCTCCGTTTTCCCCCCGCCGTTGTCCCGCTGATCCTGGGCTCCGCTGTGCTCGGTGCAAGCCCGGGATCAGCGCCATGCCTGTGTCACAGGGGATCAGAGGGAGATCGTTACACGAGCTCCCTCCGGTCCCCTCTCCTCTGAAAGAATGCGGAAGTGTTGTATATGACATCACTTCCGCATTCTTGTGTCACTCTCCAGCTTCGGAAGCTGAAAAGAAGCTGATGGAGCAGATCTGTGCTTCATCAGCTTCTTTTGGGGGGTCCTAGGTGACATTAGGGGTCTTGGAGACCCCTGATGTCTCCATAAAGAGGACCTGTCACATATTTTGCTATCACATAGGGGGGTTTTATTAGCCCCCGTATGTGATAGCAATAAAGTTTAGTTAAAAAAAAATAGGAAAAAAAAATTAAAGTCCCCCCAAGTTTTTTTTAAAAGTTACACATAAAAAAGAATAAAAAAAATAATTTAAAGTCCCCACCCATACATACACGCATGCAAACATGCGTCAGGGGCGCATACGTGCAAAAAAGAGATTGCACCCATTACGCCGCACATGTTACATATCGCCGCAAACGTCCGAGTGAGAGCAATAGTTCCAGGGCCATCAATCACTGATAACACTAAACTGATGAGCGGTAAAAGTTTTTAAAGTGTCGCCTATGGCCAATTTTGGGTATGGTAGTTTTCTGCTATGTTGCGGGTGCACGCCATTTTAAAGCTTGACATGTTTGGTGTCTATTTACCCGACGTGACCCACATCTTTCATATCAGAGTCTCCCTTCACATCAGAGTGAGTCCTCCCATTACACACCGCTCCGCTGTGGCAACATGGCAGAGGGTGGGAGGCAGAGCAGGTCCAGACAAACAGATGCCAGATACAGAATTCTTTCGTCCTCTTCTGAATGCTAGAGTAACCCTAAATGCCACCTGCCCTGGATTAGTACAATTGTTTCAATGGTGCTGGTTGCTGTTCCACACTGCATAGAAATGCATGACACCGTCCTAAAAAAAGGAAAAACTGTGTCACATATTGAATAAATGCCGGATGAAGCATGTTTTTTTGATGGCACCCCTGACAAACCCAGACGTCAACCTAGTTGAGAAAGGCTGAATTAGGTCTTGAATTAAATGGTGCCTACAGATAAAGGCATTAAACAGTATTTGACAAAATAACACATAATATTGATGTGGTGTATTCATTACCATGATCTAAATTATTTCAGATATGTCATGAGTAAGCAAAAGTAAGTACATCTTCACATTTACCAGCACTTCAAATCTATATACTTAGAATCTGCTGTTCCAAATTAGGAGCCAATGATTTAACATTTTTAGGGAGTATGTAGGTGGGTCTTAATTCTCTAATTCCCTCAGGAAGAAAGTTTTGGATGGCTATGAGTCAGGCAAGGGAATTAAAAAGTTAACTAAGCAAAAATTTTAAATTGATCATTCTTTAAGGAAAATAATGTAAAGTGGTGTAGCTGTCAAGCAGCTGCTAATTTGTTCAGGACTGGCCAGCCCAACAAACGCCACCCAAGAGCTGACCGTTTGATGATTAAAGAAGTTTCCAAGACCCCAACATTTTTGAATTTGAAAAAGATTTGAACAAGGGATTAATGAGGAAGTCCAGGCGAACAAAATTGTTTTGTCTAGGGAGACAGACAAGGGAAGTAACAGAGTTAAACTCAATCGAACCATGATCCCGGATGGCTGTTAGACCCTCCGATTCAGGAATTTAAGGTCCTGTGAGTCATCACGGCCTATACAGTGTATTGGACGCCTGTATAGAAGCCAGCTGGGATCTTGGTTCAGGTGAGTATTACTCTATTATTGTAGCGAAATGTTATTTGCCTGGAGTTCTTCTTTAAACCAATTCAACCTGCATGAGAGATGTGTAAAGAAAAAGTTTTTGTTGTTCAAAGCAATATTTCAGCAAGGTTACAGTTTGCCATTGAATATATAAGCCAAGACCAAGCCTTCTGGAACAGTGTGCAGAAGACTAATCAATCAAAGATAGAATTGTCTGCGCACAATAACAGTAGACATGTTTACTGCAAACCGAAGACAGTAATTCAGGAGAAGAGCTTCATAACAACTGTCAAGCATGGTGAAGGAAATGTTTTGGTTTGAGGTAGCTTTGCTACTTCAGATCCTAGAAAGCTTGCAGTCATTGAGAGGACTATATATTCTGTATCATGTCAAAGTGATATGATAAAGAGAATGTAAAGCCATCTCTCCAAAAAATGAACTGGAAATGAGTGTATTGACACAATAATAATCTGAAGCACACCAGCAAATCCACCAAGGAAAGGCTCACAAAGAAGAAATAGAGGGCTATGGACTGCTCTAATCAAAGCTCTGATTTGATTCCAGTTTAAATTTTGTAGGGGAATTTTGAAACAAACAGGTCATGCAAGAAAACCCACAAACATTTTGCAACTGAAAGCCCTGAGAACTAGACAGGAGATGGTTGGGAATAGATGTGTAGTATCCCTTTAAACATCTGGGTGTATAATTAAATGAACCTCAACAAAGCTTAGTGCTTTAACATGCTCAATAAAAGAAAAATGTCAGATGTTGAAATAACACATATTTATTGTATTACACAACACATTTCGTAATACAAATGCTTCTTTGTCAGAGATGACAAATATTACATTTGATTAACTAAAGACCTAAACTGCAATCTTTTGTGTATGCGTTAAGGAAATGTCAGCATGTGTGCTTTGGCATTAATTATTTTTCCTTAGCAAGTGTCATACAATGTGGTGTTTATGTGAGACTGAAAATCTGTAATGTCTCTCAATCCAGATCCTTTTACAAGACTCATTGCTAGCAAATATGGCATTTGTACCTTGTTTTGTTTTGAGTCCTTGTTACTATTTCTGCATTAGCAAGATTATTGATTTTCTAGTATTTGTTGTGACCAAAGTGTATATGGTCTAAAATAGAACTCCAAACACAGTTGTGTTTAGCTTTGGAGAGAAGAGCAGGGTTTAAACCCCAGTTAGTTTATATTGTTGCTATTTCCGTGTTGATCAACCTCACTATTGTGGGGAATGTGAGAGTAAATCCAAAATGTTGTGGTTGTCATGGTTGTCACTGGTAAGGGGGGGGGGGGGGAAGGGAAGAGTATTTTTCTTGGATTTCCCCTCACTTCCTATTGTGTGTCTGGGAGAAATCTTCCCAGTGTGGACATGGAGTGCAGTAACAATCTGACATTGGTGCTAAACCGTGATCTATCAGGTTTTGGCTGCAATTATACTATAATTAATCCTCAAAAATCAACCGTAGTAACAGTATTTATGAAAGTGGTCATTCACTGCCTACCTGAATATAGCATTGGGAGTCACTGACTGGTAGAATTATGGGTGGTGTGTATGAGTCACTTAGGTTTCTCACCTACACATGGTGAGGGGCTCCAGGGCTGACTTTTTGTTTTCCAAGACTCTAAATAAGTTTTGTTCTGGGCTCTTTGTAGAGCTTTCGATGGGATGAAACCTTTATTCCTTGGTCCTTCCTAGGTGCTTACACAGACCTCTTTATTAATCTCAGCTGTCCACAGGCCCTTTATATATGCAAACTGACTGATACTGTGGGAGCCTGCTGCTGGGTAAAAAGGTTGAGTGCTGACAAAACACTAAAAAATGAACACTGATCCTGGGTGTCCCTGCCTCCTGAATGAGTTACCACTGCCAATACCAGTTGAGCTTGAACCCGTTACAAGCATTGTTATTTGCTTTATTTGCTGTTATTTGAAAATGCTAATTACATATAATTTCTGCGGATAGCTGTGTCTAAGAATATTGATTTTCATTTTCAACTAACACATTTGTGTTTCAATGCAGTGAAATTAAACGGCATTATTGGTAATAACATTTCATGCTGCAAATTTGTGAAAGGCTTCATTTGAGTGCTATAAATTTTTTAAATTGGTTGCAACGGTTTGTTGCCCCCCCCTTTTTTTAAAAATCTTTGTATGTATATTTGCAACACAGATGTTATCTAAAAATATGTAAAAATAAAAATATTTTTTTTTTCTACTAAACTTCAAGCCATGGTGTCATATCTCACATAAACCCCGGTATTTCTCCTTTTTGTTGTAGCCAATTGTATTGTAGGGGGAGAGATCACACCTGGGGGGCCATTGGGCTAGCTACTCACGCTTGTCTTTGCTAGAAATTGGCCATATTGATACCCAGAACCTAATTTACTGAAATGTGAGAGGAAGTGAACCTGTATTCACTGCAAACATTCAAACACAGGATTTTATCAAATTTCCCCTACAGATGTTTAGATGTTTGAAGTAATCACGGGATCACACCACCTCACTTTCTACTAAAGTAAATCAGGCCCAGTTTACCAATCTGCAGGAAGTTGTAATGCAGTTTACAGCACAAGGCGTGCCCAGAATACATTGGGGTATGCCTGCTGAAGAGAGTAGGTGAGCTTAATGGTTAAATATTTTCCCGGCCTTCATGTAAGACGAAGGTAATACTGCCCATATAGTTTGCTTCATATTTTTTACATTGGCAATTGGTCCCATTTTTACCAGCTACGTGGCTATTGTATATTACATTATAAATTTTTTTTGAGGACAACCAAATTAAGACAAAAGTAGATTTGATGTCTATCCCTAAAAAGACTGCACTGGAAATATGATTTGGCTACTAGTAAAACAGACCTAGAATCAATGTGCAGTTGGCTTGTAGCAGTGATCTCGTAAGATCACAAGTCAGATATGATAATCAAATGCACTTAGTTTTAATACAAAGGCATTTTATGCTCTGCATAACTTATTTGTTTCCTCTCATTCTTCATTAGGTGATTCTTGCTTTGTTACGCGCTGACAAGACAGTGGGGATGCTAATGGATGGACTAAAGCAGAGGAATTTACATAATTGCGTCAACATGGTTTTGGTTGCTGACCACGGTATGCAGTCTGTCCATGTAACTGTAGTCACAGATCAGCCCTTGCCAAGAGATCCCAGCATCTGTCTTTTAAAATAATTGACTGTTAAATAGATCTCTTTAAAAACACTTCAAACTGATATTTCAGCTATTTTGCAGACATTGGTGTGTGGACCGATTTACTGAAAGAGTTGAGCATATTCACTACATTTTCACTTAAAGTGTAACTAAGGGCAAAACATATTGTTTTAGTTTTGCATAGAGTGTCGAGGGGTTTGAACCCCTACAAGGTTTTTGTTGCAGAAAACAGAAGAGTGCCAGACCGAAACAGATCTAAGGATTAGAGATGAGCCGAACACCCCCATGTTCGGTTCGTATTCGAACATTCGAACGGCCGAACAGTTTGAATACGAACTAAAACTCAATGCAATGTGGTCCAACGTTGGAAAATCAATGTCCCCTTTAAAAGGGCTTATATGCAAGTTATTGGCCATAAAAGGTGTATGGGGGCAGGGTACTTGCCTGGGGGACAGGAATCAATGCCAAAAAAAAAATAGTGTTTTTAAAGGAGCAGTGATTTTTACATGACTTAAAGGGTAAAAATTTTTTTACAAATTCCTTCAAATATCATGCCTGAGGGGTCCCCTTAACCTGCCTGTGAAGTGGCAGATCTGTAGGATGTATAGAACCTGCTGCAGCAAAAGTGACATTTCTAAAAAAAAAAAAAAAAAAAATGTTTCTCTTAAAGTGTGCCCTTCCACTCCCCAAACAATACCAGAACCTTTAGGTCTGATAGAAATGTTACGAGGGACCGATTAAAAAAACAAACAAACTGTGTAGGGTTCCTCTTAAAAGTCATACCAGGCCCTTAATATCTGGTAGGAATATTAAGGGACCACATGTACAAAAAAAGAAGTGTGTGGGGTTCCCCCTGAAGTCATTCCAGGCCCTTAAGGTCTGGTAGGAATATTTAGGAAGAACCCCATGTAACAAAAACGAACCCCATGTAACAAAAACAAAACTGTGTGGGGTTCCCACTAAAAGTCATACCAGGCCCTTAAGGTCGGGTAGGAGTTTTAAGGAGGAACCCCACCCCCCAAAATGGGGGGGGGGAAACATGGGGTCCCCCCTAAAATTCCATACCAGACCCTTGATCCGAGCATAGGCCTGCCAGGGGCGGAAAGGGGCGGACGAGCGAGTGGCCCCCCTCCCTCCCGCACCAGGCCACATGCCCTCAGCACTGGGAGGGTGTCACCGTGCTGATGGGGACAGGGGCCTCATCCCCACAACCCTGACCCGGTTGTTGTGGAGGCCTGCGGGCAAGGGGGCTTATTTGCATCTGGGTACCCCTTTAATTAAGGGGGCACCCAGATGCCGCCCCCCTCCCTTGTGAATGAGTAAGGGGTACTTGTACCCCTACCCATTCACTAAAGTGTTAAATAAAATAGTTATTAAAAAGTCCAGACTTTTGATAAAATCCTTTATTTCTTTATTTGGAAAAAAAACAAAGATGTTTTTGACAAATCTTTTATTTAAAAAAAATTGATCCACCGATGTAATCCAGGGTCAATCACGGCGTCCAGCATTGTCCACGGCGACAAAATAAAAACTAAAACAATAAAAAATAAAGCGAAATAATAAAATAAAACAAGGCCGCCGTCCTGTCCGTTCCCGCCGCATAATGGCATTTTGAGAGATGCCGGCAAAACATATACAATTGGGCGGAGCTAGCGTTGATAGCCAGCTCCGCCCAATTGTGTAGTTTACCGACATCTGATAGGCAGGCCGTGATTGGGCAGAGTCATCATGACTTTGCCCAATCATGGCTCTAATTCAATACTAAGCCCTGATTGGGCAAAGTCTTGCACCTGACCTGTGGTCAGGTGCAAGACTTTAACAAATCAGAGCTTCAGAGGGCATTTTGCCTTATGGAATGTCCGCGGTCGAACAAACCGTGAACATCCCATAAAGTTCGGCATTCGGCGAACGTTCGAACTGCCGATGTTCGATTCAAACTCATGTTCGAATGGAACACTCGGCTCATCCCTACTAAGGATCCCTGAAAATGTTGATAATTCTGTTGATCAAACAGCTGCCGTCTGCCATCTAAAAAATTTTGGGAGAACTACCCATAGCTGCAATAAAAATGAAATTCTTGCTCTGAGACCATTCCTCCATTCTTATTGTTTTCAAGCCCTGATGAAGGGGGTTATGCCTGCCCCCAAAGTGTCTTGGCTGTTTGATCAACACAATTATCAAACTTTTTATTGACTCTAACATCCATTTTGGATTGGCACTCTTCTGTTTTCTGTCCCTGAGTTGCTCCCAGTACCTCGTATTGGAGACTGTACGTCTTTGAGCTGCCAAACCATAAGCTAATGAGCTACCTACAAATCAATTTGGGGTTATCATCAAGGATAGCAAGATACTCCTCCCAGCAATTCTAAAATATTCACACAATTTGTTTTATTTTTTTGCAGCCAGGTTTTTATTGCAGCCTGTGCAGGGAGATCTACTCTCTCTAGTTACCGTGATCACCAATATCACTGGGAATAATGAGAGGGTACATTCATATTTTGCTACTAGAACAGCAATAGAGGGAAAATCTTAAAATGAGGACACTTGTTCCCATGGCAACTGTCTTTCCTGCACACTAGAGAGATATGCTCCCCCTTCCTGTTGAGTCTTCAGGACACCAAGTGAAGGGACATCTCCCAAATGAGACATATGTGAAAAAAAACTGACAGCGGCTTTAACCCTCCCCTACTCCCCCTATCCAAAATGGGGGAAAGATTAGAGGACTTTAGATTTAATTGAACTTAAAACTGAGGTGAAGCTAACTGAAAATTCACCTTGCAAAGAATACCCAATCATGTGCAAGGAGAGAAAAATAGCTTGCGTATGGCAAGATGATTAAATCTAGCATAGCTTCACCTCATTCATTCATTCAGTGAAAATTGTCTTTGCAAAGTAAACATTCACTTAGATTAGTGAATGAGGCGAAGCTATGCTGGATTCATGTGCGAGCAAAAATCAATTTTTTAAAATATTTTTCCTTGCACTGGATTGAGTGTTTTTTTCACAAAGTGTATTTTTACTAAGCTTCATATCATTCACTAAGTTAGGTACAAATTCACTTTGCGAAGGGAATATGCTCTATTTAGTAAATTAATTGCACTGTCTTCTAATTATACCTAAATTATTAGTATGTGGTAGTTTTAATGTGAACATTCTCTACTCCTTTTTTACATTAACAGTGATTAATATACAGCAAATGTTGTATAACTGTAGGTTGTATAACAGCTTTTTGTCAGAATTTGTACTTCCCTTTGCAGAGTATGTAAAAAATACCAATGACTCTTTTTACCTTTTTGCAGGAATGGAGAAAACCTATTGTGAACAGCTAGAGTACATGACAGATTACTTTCAATCAATATCTTTCTTTTGGCTGTATGATGGGCCAGCAGCTCGCATGCGAGCATATAGGGTCCCACAGGACTACTTAACATGTAAGTCTTTCATTTTTACTATTTTTATTGTTAAAAAAAAAAAAGCATGTATAATGTATAATATTATATTGGTAAGCATGGGTGCTGATTGTAAGCATGGGTGCTGATTAAGGAATTATACATGAGGTGCTGAAGAGGTTACTTTTTCAGTTAAACAAATCTTTTTTGAAAATTTGCAATAAATTACAATACACAAGCAGTGCACAAAAAGGGTTAAAAAAAAACAGGGAAAAAAAGGGAAGGGGGAAATGAATTTATATATATATATATACAATATATATAAAAAGTATCGGGACACCCCTCCAAATCATTGTATTCAGGTGATCCAATCACCTCCATGGCCACGGGTGTATAAAATCAAGCACCTAGGCATGCAGACTGCAACTGGGAACAACAGCGACTAAGCCATTAAGTGGTAGGCCATGTAAAATGACAGAGTGGGGTCAGTGCATGCTGAAGCACACAGAGCGCAGAAGTCGCCAACTGTCTGCAGAGTCAAAAGCTACAGACCTCCAAACTTCGTGTGGCCTTCAGATTGGCACAACAACAGTGCATAGAGAGGTTCATGGAATGGGTTTCCATCGCCGAGCAGCTGCATCTGTTAGGATCCAGAGCACCTCCAGGTGGCGCTGGAGCTAGGCCCTGCAGTTCCTGTGCTCACCTGCAGGTGTCTCCAGGCAGCCAGGAACTGTCAGGTACCAGACCACCACTGGGCGGTGCTGGAACCTGCAGCTCCAGTGCTCACCTGCGGGTGTCTCCCTGCTGCCAGCACTTATCCATCACCTGGTGCTTCTTGGGAGGGTATTTAAACCCTCCCTGCAGTCAGGACTATGGCTCAGTATTCTGTTGTTGTTTCCTGAATCGCCAGTCCTGTTACCTGCTTATAGACCTAAGTCCTGATACCTGCTTGTTGTCCTGTTGCCATTAACTGCTTGTCGTCCTGTTGCCATTAACTGCTTGTCGTCCTGTTGCCATTACCTGCTTGTAGTCCTGTTGCCATTGCCTGCTTGTAGTCCTGTTGCCATTAACCTGCTTGGAGTCCTGTTGCCATTAACCTGCTTGGAGTCCTGTTGCCATTAACCTGCTTGGAGTCCTGTTGCCATTAACCTGCTTGGAGTCCTGTTGCTGTTACCTGTATTTAGCTATTTGCTCCTGTTATATGTTATAAGTGTTGGGGGTTATATTTAGTTGGGGTCACATTACTTATTCATGCTTGCTTTTGGGTGTTTCATTTGCTTTTGCTGGTTACAAATAAACTGTATATAACACATTTGCTTTGTCCCGTGTGGTCATACGTGTTTGGTCTTCCGTGTGGGTACCTGCATATGGTGTGGGGACACCGGTGCACGGACCCCATGCCAGCATCCAAGCCGTACATCGCAAAGCGTCGGATGCAGTGGTGTAAAGCACGCCACCACTGGAGAAGTGGAGACGTGTTCTCTGGAGTGACAAATCATGTTTCTCCATCTGGGATTATGGTGTGGGCTTGTTTTTCAGGGATTGTTTTTGGCCCCTTAGTTCCACTGAACTCTTAAGGCATGACCATACCAAGACATTTTGGACAATTTCATGTTCCCAACTTGGTGGAAACAGTTTGGTATGGCCCCTTCCTGTTCCAACATGACTGCGCACCAGCGCACAAAGCAAGGTCCATAAAGACATGGATGAGCGAGTTTGGGGTGTAGGAACTTGACTGGCCTGCACAGAGTCCTGACCTCAACCCAATAGAACACCTCTGGGAAGAATGGCTCAAAGGGTGTTTAATCGTGTTGTTTAGGCCTGGTTCACACCTGAACGCTTTGTAGCGCGTTCAACGCTCGACGAACGCTCTACAAAACGCTCAAACATCTAAATCCCACTGTATTCAATGGGTCTGGTTCACACCTTGCCGTATTTCCGCCCGCCCGAACGCAGTACAAAACGGCCTACGCCAGAAAAGGTACAGGAGCTTCTTTGCAGCATATTGGGCCATTTTGTAGCGCGTTCGCGCCCATAGACTTCGACGGGAATGGGCTGAAATGAGTGTTTAGTGCAGCATATTGGGCCGTTTTGTAGCGTGTTCGCGCCCATAGACTTCGACGGGAATGGGCTGAAATGAGTGTTTGCGCGTTTTTGGTAGCAGAAATCGCGCATAGAACGCGCGTTCCGCACATGGCTACAGACCACTCCCATCTTGCAGACAAAGTTGTTGGGTGAAGAAGCTGAACAAGATGGAGGATTCCAGTGCATGTGGCCTGCTGGATTCTGAGGCATTCATACAACTGGTGCAGGAGAGACCATGTCTCTATGACATGAGATATGCCAATTACAAGAATCGGAGAATCAGGCAACGTGCCTGGCAAGAGATTGGAGAAGCAACCTGGCCTGATTGGGAAACCTTCTCCAAACAAGTTAAAGAAGCAAAAAGGTACATGTCAGCAATGTTTTTATGTGTTGAATATTTTCTTGCAGAATGCATGCACTGTTGTAATGCGTCATGCGTGCATTGTTTGCATATGACTTGTGTTCATTATTTCCATGTAACATGCGTGCATGTCTTCATGCAGAATGCATGCAGTGTGTACTGACATGTGCACATTGTTTTCATGTGACTTGCGTGCAGTATTTATGTCACATGCGTGCAGTGTTTTCATGTCAGATGCGTGCAGTGCGGTTATGTGACAGGCGTGCAGTATTTTAATGTGACATGCGTGCAGTGTTTTCATGTCAGATGCGTGCAGTCTTTACATGTAACATGCGTGCATGAAGTGCATTAATGTGAAGTGCATGCATTGTTTACATTTGACTTGCGTGAAGTGTTTGCATGTGACTTGCGTGCAGCTATTTATAAAAAAACAATACTCAAGTCTGTTTTCAATTCAAATATAATTTATTGGTATCAGATCAAGGGAAAATGATTGTTAATTTTTGGAGGGGAATCAAGACTGAATCGCTTGCATCTGCCATGACACCTCCCCCTCAGGTGACATGAAGCAAGCATGCAGCAAATCCGTCACGAATGCTGCCACCATTTGTTGTTCCACGGCTGGCGCTGCAATGGCTACTCTCCATGCAATGCGCCAATGAATCGTCAAAATTGAACCCATCTCTGCAACGCACAAAATTGTGAAGGGCACAAGCTGCTTTCACCGCAGAGATGGCGTTTTCGATTTTGAGGTTTATTGGCGAGTGCAGGAAGCGCCATTTATTGGAGAGTATGCCAAAGGCACACTCCACAACCCTGCGTGCTCTGGTGAGCCTATAATTGAAGACCCATTTGGCCTTGAAAATTCAGTATTTCCATGTTTGATTATAGGCACCGTTTTCAGTTTCTTCTCCTACCCGGTTGAGCAGGAGACATTTTTTATGCCTTTGTCTGATGGTTTTTATTTATAGTAACATTTTAGGACAATTTATCAATGAGTTTGTGCGTTTTTCTTTTTGGGGTTTAAGATGAAGTTTTCTTTTTGGGGTTTAAGATGAAGTTTTAAACTATGTTTAGGATTTGGTTATATGAAAGGTTGTGTTAAACATATGGAGGAGGTTCACACATGCCATACGTCAACATGCATATCACAAAGACACCTAGGTTAGAACAGCACAACGCACAGGGTACTACAGCAAAAGGCACAACACACAGAGCATTAATATACAATTCCATATAAATAACACTTGAAAACAGCTTATGATTTATTTAAGGAGGGGGGTAATGACAGTACTGTCACAGATCAGCGTTGATCTGTTATTTGTAGTTCTGCAAACCGGTGTATATCACAGATCTGAAAATAGCTGTTCTTGTTTTTCCACTACATGTGCCCTGTTCCTACCTTGCTCTTGCACTGGTCTGGCAGCGTAAACTGATTCGCATGCCGCTTTTTAGCAAAACAGTTCTGTCAGCTTGCATATTGCTCACCTTATTGTAGTTCCCAGCTCGCTGCATGAGAAATACGCCATGTGAGAGTGTATATATGAAATTGGTGATTGATATGCACTAATTTATATTTATAAATTAGTACACATAAATAATTAATTTCATACCTAGACCCGCTGAAAATCACAGAGAGCACACATTTAATCATATCTAACTCTATTTATGCTTCTTTACACCAATACTTAATTGGTCTATAATGCTACAAAGGAGTGATGTAGTGAACTTACCGCAAAGTAATAATTAATCTTTCCGGTGGTGGAATGCTGTCTCGCATGAAGGTGTCCTGACGCTCCAACTGGACAGCCAACAATCCAAGCAGCTCATCAAAACTGTAATATATATATAGGTTTGTGGTCAATACTAGCAATTAGCAATATAAATAGATGAACAACATACACATATATTCCATTAAAATCGATGATGCCACTTACATGGGACAGAACAACAATAAGCACTAACAATTGTTTATGTACTAACCTATTTATGGACATGCGGGTGTAGGTGAAGAACTTCTCCTCATGTCCACGGAGTGTCTCATATATGGCCCAAAACTGGCCTCTTTCTTCACGGTTCGCTATGACTGGATGGACCCAGAAACGCCTGCTATCTCTCCTTCTCCTCAATCGGATCAACCGCACTGCTGCAACGACTGCTGCAGTCCGTCTCCGTTTGCCTAGCTCCATAATCACTGAAAAATCAATAACAAATCGCAACTCTCCTCTGTACAAAAGACACTGCACACACCACACGGTCTTTTGCATACAGGAAAAGGAAATGCTGTGTCTCAGGAAGTCTTTTTCATTGGACACTTGCGGAAAGACCGGAATTCTTTTTCATTGGACACCTCTGTTGTCGCTCCAAATGCTCAAAAACGCACGTACGTCACGCGTTTTAAATGTATAAAAACGAGCTAAAAACGCTGGGGGGAAATGCGCGTTGTACGCGCATATACAAAACGTTCAGGTGTGAACCAGGCCTTACCCATATCTTCAGAAAAAAAATCACTTCTATTGTTGTGGTAAACAACTTGCTTCCCTATTTATAATGGTCTGGCCCTCTAGCAACTTCAGCGCAAAATTATAGCTAATTT